TAACTACAAAATCCTCGAGTCCTCGACCGTCACATCAATTAAACTAATTTTTGTTATGATATTTGATGAATGAAAACCTAATTTGTGGCAAATTTGATACCAAATTAGTGGGTTTTAAATATCAAAAAAGTTTTTATGCATTTTAATAGCGCATTTAATACCTGCATAAATGCTCGCAATATTATGTGTGTACTAGTATTAAATTCAACGTAATATTAGCTGTCAATACATGTTAAAAATAGTATTGAATTTATTTACAAAAAGCAAAAAGGATTTTTTATATGAAATTCTTGATATGATTTCGCAAACACATAACTAGTAGAAAGTATTCATCACTAAATACAAGTCTACATAAATTAGTTTGGAAAATATTAATATTATAACTTATAACAAAAGGACTGTTGTCTTAGGACTTTTACACTTTTGATTTCATTGAATCATTTAACACACTCGTTTATACAGGGCTGTTCGTACCCGGGTACTTTTAAAGTCCTTTTTATACACACTCTTTGAGCTCATATTTTAAACACACTCTCATTATTAGCCATTTTTATATACTTTTTTTTATACCGGTATTCAACTTAAAACTAGACTTAAAACTATACAAAAACTTAAATGTGAGCAGTTATATATATCTTATAATATTTTATACGATATACTTTATTACAGTATTTTATTTTAGAGATTTAAAGTATAGTTTTAAAACACCAAATATAATTTCTATAAATGTTGTCATCAACTATAATGACTGACACTTGCGATAACTATTTGTGTCATACAATCATATGTTTCGCAAAAAAGTCCTGAACTTTATTTCGAAAATTTTTATATTAAATTTAGTCGTTATATGCCATTACAGAGGTACCGGTGCCGATCCCATGCAGTGATAACTTAATTCATCGGACAATTATGTAATAAAAAACATACACTTCCTTTGGTGGAGTAGCACTCCGATAGGACTCGTATACATCATTTGAATATAGCTTTTGATTTTACTTTCTTTTTATATTCACTAAAATAACTACAAAATCCTCGAGTCCTCGACCGTCACATCAATTAAACTAATTTTTGTCAAATGGCTTACGAATGTTATCTCGAAAAATAAAAGTAGAAAATAATAAATAATAAAAACTAACCGTAAGATTACATACATTCTGATAGACATTAAGATATACCATACATAGTGAATGTATTATTATGTAAAAACACTATTATATAGCCGTACGCCAGTACTTAGCATTGAAATACGAGTAAAAACTTTTACTTTAAATAAAAAGTTTCGCCAAATATACTGTATATCGTATTAAATACCTGTGATGTCTTCATACGATTATATAATTTAGTCATTCATTGCATTGTTTTTATAGCTATTTTGATAGATATATAGTTTATAAATACAAGTCTCGTTATTAATAACGATAATTAGCTATTAATCTGTTTTCAAGTACATGGATACGAAATTAGCTTTCAAGGCATAGTATTTAAAAAGTTATTTATTTAACAACAGCCCACAAAAATGAATCTACTGTAGTAATAAATGGACAATTAGTCTAGGGTGTATCCCATATATAAATCTTTGCTCCCTTTCCATAGTACCCCCTCCATACTGTATATACTTTGTGTCAATTTAATAGCATATAAATATATTATCTAATTATGAGATTATAATCTCGGTCTCTCTGTAACAAAAAAGTAAAAGTTTTTTGTTTAATGCGCTAATTATGTCGTTGCAAATCAAACATCAAAACCCTTTCGGGAAAGACATTATGTTTGATATATTTGGGAACAACATATTTAGACAACTACAGTATTTAAACCAAAAATATATAGCTTTCCATACGTAAACCATAACTCATAAACGGTACGCTTTTTTAGAAACAAAAACTTTTACCCAAGTTTTTACAAACTAGAAAAATAGCTGAGAATTTGTTGCCTAATGGTTGAGTTCATTGGACTTTTCACTTTCGATACAAACAAATATGTATGAAATTGAAGTGAAAAATCTTTATCTCACATATTCTTGCGGTACACCTATTCTCAGACATACAATGGGTTTAAGAGAGACTTTCCTTTTTGAACAGTAAGGGTTAGTATTAAAGGGAAAGTATGTATTATTTAGTGGTTTAGTGAATGCCAATTATAACAACTTTTTTAGGCCACCAATAGTGCCAACAAAGGGTGTTATGTCAGAGGACTGATAGATAGCGGAGGGAGAAGGGGTCGATCCCCGCCCATACATATGATAGCATACTAACCATCAATAATCATATTTTCGGTAGATCTTTAAATTTGATATTTTTGTTACTTTCTAAGTACTCTCTCTCTCTCTCTCTCTCTCTCTCTCTCTCTCTCCATATTTGCAAATCAATAAATATATAACAAAATAAGAGTTAAAATAGTTTTTTGTTTTATATTTCTGGCTTTTGTATAACAATTCCGTGTTTGATATGTAATGAACTCTCAATTGAGACTAAAACCCGAGTATAGTATTGAATGGAGAGGTTTAGTCTACAAAAGCGATTGAGTTCTTCACTCTCTATCTTAAGTTTCATTGACATCAGATTTAGGCAACAGATGAGAGAGAGAGAGAGAGAGAGAGAGAGACTGGTGTTGGGAGGGATATGGAGGGAGAGTGAGTGAGAGGTCTGGTGGCTGACCTGAAACACACAATACGATTAGCAATTCTCTCCGTTAATTCTGTTGATTATATTTCTACACAGATTTCTATCCATCGATTCATTTCTCTACCGATGCCTCAAATACGAGAAAAAAGTAATTATTCGTTGCATTCAATGCCAGAGCGCTTAAGCCTCCGATATATTAGTCATTGAAAGGCATTATTTTACGCAAAAATTACCCCGTATTCTGTAACATTAGAAATATCAAATACGAAAAAATACTTTTGTGTATCAAATAATGTATTATTAATACAAATTTCATACGACTATCGCTGCTGTGGATCAGTTTGCGAGCCGAGAGGTTGAATAATGGACTGCAAACTAATCACTAAAAATCTAATCAATCAAACGATTGACTTATTGTATAATGCATTTCAATGCCTAACCATTTGTTTCGCATATTTATACAGTATTCTTGAAAAAACGATTTATATTTCATTAGTTATTTAGGAGTTTATATTATTTACGGATAATTATATCCATTCAGTGGTAGGGAATGGCAGGTATGGAGAGAGGTATTCCGTATACTACATGACTTTGTGCGGACATACAGCCAAACCAATTGACTAATAATATTGAATTCAGATTAGATATATATATCCAGACATTCCTCGCATTTCTGATATGATATAAGAAAAGAGATTGTATTTAGAGATAAAAACTGATCGCAAGTGACCGAACAGTTTGCTCTGCTATCCAATGATGATAGCAAACTACCGGGTGCTCTCTCTCTCGCCGGTAATACCGGAGCCGAGGCACTATAGCTACGAACAAAACTCGTCATAATTAACAGTTAATACGCAAAGCGTTTTGAACCATAAACTCGTTGTTTGAACACAGAATTTATGATAATTTCTGTCTAATATTGTTTGCGAAGAAATATATTCACAGTTTTTTCGTGTGTTTGTCATATAATTTGAATAAAAACTAATTATCGATTCAATTGATTGCTTATGCATTTCAATGGCGAGGAGTAGTGTATGGTTCACAAAGTTTGCGCACAAACTTAGTCTATACAATGGCTATGAAATTAAATTGTTTGTATATATATTTTGCAGCGAATTTGCATTTAATCTCTTATGTGATTATAGTTACATAAGAGTCACACCGACAGGTCATTAGACAATAAAATATTTGACAATTTATACACAAATGTATTAGTATTTTTGTTGTTGTTATTTATATTTGTTTATTGTGATTACGATGATAAATGACACCGACACTTTTTAATATTATAATTTATTTTGTCAATTTAAATATTAATAACATTTAGTGAGTAAGCATGGGCATTTGAGCGTAAATTTTGTTGTTGTTTTAAATTTAGTTTTCATTTTCGTAGACATTTTACACACAAAATATGTATTAATATACGAAACGGTAAATTCAGATCCGGAATAACATTAATATTAATTTGAATAAAAACTTTTTGCTTTATTCATTGATTACCATAATTCACATCATCATTACGATGGCACACAGTTTGGGACATACCTTATAGTTATGTCACAAAATTTATTGCTATTATATTCTAATAAGTATTAATTGATTGTCATTTTGACTGAAATCCTAATGATCGGGGGCATAAATTAAGTCATATTTGACGTGTAGGCGCCAATGAACAGTCGTTTGCAATTAGCGATGATTTTTCACGTAATTATTTAAATAGAAAGAAAAATAAATTCATTTTTATTTTATTAATTACTTTGACTTTGGATTTAAAATGCAGTTTTAATTTTTCAAACAACAAACACAAACTTTGTTAAATTGAATGCCTTTTCATATACCCATTGATTACGTAAAACACTTCCGTAAATAATAAATTATCAATCAACTTTTCATTCAATTTATTGTAATTATCGCTAAATTTGGATACCAATCATCGGACACACAATGAGCGCCACAAAACGTTGACTTCATTACAATCACCTCGCTAATTTCAATTGGTTTTTGTTATGAATTCATAATGTATGCAATATTTATTACATTTGCCAAACTATTTTCCAAATAAATTGTTAATTGAATACATTTAATACCAATTTAGGTGTTAATAAATTATAATATACTATAAATCACTCCAAAATTAAATCCAATTTAAATGGTATGCATTTTATAATTTAAAAACATTGACAAAAAGATATCAAATAATTATTCGGCATTTTTCGCATAACTTTCCAAACGCTGTAACGTTTGCCACAAAAAAAACTGTATTCTTATAACACTTTCATTCAATTCTGCGTTCATTTCATACAAAACACCGAATTTAAGGCACTTTTTATTGTCAGCTAATTATCACTGCATTGGTTCCATACAATCGCAGACACAATGAGCGACACAAACGCAGACATCATTATAATCCCCGACGACGAAGAGTGCGAACAACTGACCGCCGAAGACGTGCCCATCAAACGCGAGTCACAAGTGTTGATCTCAAAGACACGTCCGATGGATATCCACATCAAGACTGAGACCAACTCAGGGTTCAATGTCTTGAGCGGCGATCGCGCGGTCCAGGAGTTGGCGGCGAAGGCCATCGCCTCTCAAAACGATTTGATTCATAGGCTTCTAATGGGAGGCAATGCGGCGGACGATCTGAGGGCACGAAACGCCGAACTCGACACCAAATGCCACGAATGGCAGAAGAAGTGCCACAAAGAGAGTCAACGATACGCGACGGCCAGAGCTCAGTGGGAACGGGAGGGACTGGAGTTGAGGCATACGGTGGCCACGAGTGAGGCGACGATAGCATCACTTAAGGAACAGCTGAGAGTCTCGCAGACAAGAGCTAACCATTTGGCGCAACAGATCAACCAAAACGACGCCGAAGTGGCGAATGCGCTGAAGAGGTCGCAGGAACAGGTCTGTCCACGACATCAGAGACTTTACTCGCAGTCATAGTCCTATTAATTGTGATCTCATTTTACAGGTTCTGGTCTTAAGTCAAGAGAACAATCTCTTGAACCAAGAGCTCGACAACCAGTTAAAGGCCCGCAAAGAGCTCGAGGCAGAGACCAGGAGTGGCTCCAGAGAATTGAAACAACTGTCGGAAAGAGGTCTCGAGAAGGAGGTGGTCGGACTCCGGGAGTTGAACGCCTTCCGCGGCAAACGAGTGGACGAGCTCTCGAAATGCGCCGAAGAGCTGAAAGAAAAGGTGAAACAATTGGAGCAAAACGTATACGAGAAGAACCTGAGGATGACGTCCATTAAGAGTCAAATGGTGGCCAAAATCGACGCACACGAGCGCGAAATGATGGCAGCCGTCAAACGCATGAGACAATCGGTGGTCAACTCGTCGCTCACCACTCGATCGCGCGCTAAACGCACCAAAAGATTGTAATTTGTTTAATGAGTGCCGTATTTATCGAAATGTTTTTAATTGTTTTTGTTTATTAGTAGTAATTAGTTTGCCGTTTAGTATGAACTAAAGTGTAGATTAAATTGATTTATATAATTGTATATTAGTGTCGGTTATTTTTCATACTTTAGGTATTTTAGTATAACTGTTAATTCATATTTGATGTATTTTTCATTTGGTTAAAGTCCAAAATATTTATAACTATAATATATATTAGATTCTGGAATTTAAACACATTTATAAGATATGAAGTAAATGTCACCTAAAAGTTAAATACTTAACCCAAAGTGAAATAAATTGTAACGAAATTTTTAACTTTAATTTTGATCGCCTTATTAAAACTTTATTTTTTAGTCTTATTAGAATATACAGTATTTATATAATTTATGAGCTCGTACGCAAAATAGAGTAATAATTGAGCGAGTACCTTAATTACCAGACATTAGCGTAATTAACAGCAATAATATATAATAATTTATAAACTAATGAAAACTTTACGGCATAAAAACTATTATATTTGGCGCTTTTGGTTACCATTAGCTGACAGTGAGTGCAGTGATTAGCCCATAGACACAGCATTACGTCATTGCATTGAATGCCATAACAAACACTTGACAGTGAAATGCAGTTAACTATGACTCGATTGGCACTGAATTAAAGGCCAATCACTCGCACTATCGCTGGTCTCTCACCCGCACGAGTGACACACCATTTGTGGCACCAATTCATACATCGATGGGAAACAAGTCATCGTCAGTGGTCTGTCGTCTCGCCATCGATGACGGCAACGGCTGTCCCGCCCGTGAGTGTCAGTCACGCAGACGATGGCCGCGACAGCCGTCGATATTCCGCGCCATCGATGCCAACGACTGTCACCGCTTAAGACAACTCATCAAATGTGGTCACAATATCAACAAACGAGACGCGAATGGCTTAACGCCTCTGCATTTGGCGGCCATTAATGCCAACGAAGACTGTCTTCGGATACTTATCGAGAGCGGAGCCCTTCTGCGGATGTGTCCACTCCGGCAGACGGCCCTCCACTTCGCCGCACAGAATGGCACCGAAGGTATGGTTGATATACTCGTGAACTACGGCTCATTCATCGACGCCAAAGACCTGATGGGATCGACACCATTGGCCGCCGCTGTCGAAGTCAATAGAGCCGACACTGCCGTCGCTTTACTCCAGAGGGGAGCTCTGCTTCAGCCCAGTGTCTGTGTGTCAGCCCTTCAGCACGGATTCACTCAACTGTTCCGCGATTTACTGAACTTCAGGCCATGTATTGTAGGGCTGATTGAGTTGAAGGACTTCCGCTTCACACGAGTCACTGTCGCGGGTCTTAAGATCCTCTTCTTCGCCGGCTTTCCCATCGATGACACCGTTGTCCCTCTTATTAAACCTCTCGAGTGGAGTGACTTTTGTCTGACGGGACGCATAACACTTCCTCCGCATCAGTACAACAGAGACCAAGACTTTGAGGCCTTCGAGTCGTTCGCCAATTGGTTGGACACCAGAGAGGATGTGCTGTCTTTGAAGTGTTTGTGTCGACTGGCCTTCAGGAAGGCCTGCAATGAGAACAGTATGGATGCGGTGTTCAGTGAACTGCCAACAGTTCCTAATGTCTTAAAACAGTATTTATTGCTAAACGATGTCAATGAGTGATGTCTTCATAGCCGCTAAATGTGACCACAATTTACAAGAAATGCTTTAATTGTTATGACTTCTTGTAAACCATTCACAGACTTGTTATTCGCATTCATCTGTTCCGAAGAACCACTTCCACTGCCTTACAGTTGTTATGCGAATACATGGCTACAGAAAACTCGGAAGAATGCAATGAATCGCTAATTATTTTCAGTATTTATGACATAAACCAGAAATATATTTATTTTATTAATTATTTAATAAATTGTTTTTATAAAATTGCTTTTTATTTTGTTAATTGTTCAGTGTTATTGCACTTATAAATGCAATTACGGTATTATACCAGTATTTTCATTATAAAATACTAGTCTAATGTTTTGCGCTAACTATTTTTGAATTATTATATTAATAAATTATATTTAAAATATTCCCATTTTAATATCACTTAAAGTCTTAACTTCTTAAATGAAATCAATGTATTGTTTTTATTTTAATTTATTTCAAAACACGTGTTGTTGTTGTCATTTATATTCTCGACACCAAACTTAAGAATTTGCGCATATTTTTCATAACAGATGCCTTTCCTCTCAACATATAATACATTACTACAGAATATGATCGCATATTCTGTATGTCATGATTGGGCGCATGTATTAAAACTATTATTATTATCATGTTTTCAATGAACAACTCTTGACGTGTGAATCGAGAATTGTCTTCAAAATACATTTAAAGGTTAATCACTCGCTCTGTAATGGGAAACAAGTCTTCAGCTATCAATCGTCGCTTAACCCCCGATAACCCGATATTATGCGGTAATTGGTCTTACAATTGCCGAACCGATTGGAAACCATTGCCGGCGTTGTCACCGATCTTCGGCGCCATCGAAGCCAACAATTGTCGTCTCTTAAGAAAACTCATCAAAAGTGGTCACATTATCGACACAACTGATTACAAGGGCTTTTCACCGCTCCATAGGGCGGCCATTAATGGCAACGAAGCCTGTCTTCTCTTACTTCTCGAGAGCGGCGCTCAACTGTCAGACCGTCCGTTCGGGATGACAGCCCTTCACTGCGCGGCACCCAATGGTACCAAAGCTATGATTGATATACTCGTGGACTACGGGTCTAAAGTCAACGCCAAAGACACGATCGGATTGACACCACTGGCAGAGGCCGTCAAGTCAGACAATATGGACACTGCGATGGCTTTACTCCGCAGAGGAGCCACTCTTGAGCCCAATGTCTGTGTATTAGCTCTTCAGCGCGGATTCACTCAGATGTTCCGGGATTTACTGAACTTTAGGCCCAGTATTGTGGCGGACATTGAGTTGAAGGACTACTTCTGGCTCACGAGAGACACTGCGACCGGTCTTAAGATCCTGTATTTCGCCGGCTTTCCAATCGATGGCACTCTTATGTCGCGTATTAAACCTCTGGACCACTCCAGTGAGTATAGTATGACGGGTCGCATAACACTCCCTCGACATCAGTACAACAGGGATCAAGTCTTTGAGGCCTACGAGTCGTTCATCAATTGGTTCCAAAGCCGAGAGGATGTCATGTCTTTGAAGTGTTTGTCTCGACTGGCGTTTAGGAAAGCTTGTAATGGGAACAGTATGGAAAAGGTTCTTGGTCAAGTTGGCTCTATTCCCAATCACTTTAAAGAGTATTTATTATTGCAAGATATCAATGATTAATGTCATCCGAGTGTACGCCAGATATGACCACAATATTCAAGTAATGCTTATAATTCTTATGACAAACCATTTCCAACAATACTGTGTCCACGGGTGTAATACTGTGCCATCATTTTGTGCCATGTTTTCAACTAAACTCTTCTGTTGTCTATAAGATTCATGGATACTGTGGTTAACTCGAAGAATGAAATGAATCTCTAATTATTCTTAGTTTATAGTTATGTGATTACAAAATTAAACTCTACTTTTAAACTTATTTTTCAAAAAGTTTTAAAACATTTCAAATTCAAACCTAACCTAACCTAACCTAACCCCCATATAATTATAGTATAACAATATAAATGCCATTTTTACGACAATTCAGGACTAATTACAAGTTATTTCATGTTCGCAATGAGTGTTACACTTATAACCAATACATGACTATTGATATCTCGAAGAATGTATTGGAACTCTCATTATTTTGAGCAAGCAAATTATATATTTTTTTATAAAGTTTGTTCTATACTATAAAAACCTACATTAAATTCTTGATAAAAATTATACGATATCTTTGGCTTTTATACATGTGTTTTAAATATTCTTTTATTTTTTTGAATATAAAATAAGTTCTTAAACATTATTCTCATTAAAATTTACAAATTCTTGCTGACTATTGACTGACTTTACTTATTCATTCATAACACAGAGCATATGAATTACTATCAGAATTGGCACCTACATCCAAATCACATGCCTTTCCATTTAGTATGCATTCCCACAGAGTTTATGGTCTCATATTCTGTGGCACAGAATCTGTATGACATGTTTGCGCGCATGTATTGACACGGAATTCATGTTTTATTATGTAATTCTTGACGTGAATCTAGACTTACTGTTTACATACAGTACTAGTATGTCATACTCTACGATGTGGTACTCCACCAGCAGTATAACATACAAAAATAGCCATGGTCATTATCTCAATGGACAACAACCATCAATATTCAGAGCCATCGAAGGCGATGACTGCCAGCGCTTAAGACAACTCATCAAAAGCGGACACAATATCGACAAATGCGACTCAAATGGCTTAACAGCTCTTCATTTGGCGGCCGACAGTGGCAAAGAAGACTGTCTTCAAGTCCTCCTCGAGAGTGGGGCTCAGCTGCAGACGGGTCCACGAGGACAGACAGCCCTGCATTTGGCCGCACAGAATGGCACCAAAGCTATGGTCGATATGCTTGTGGACTACGGATCTGTTGTCGACACAAAAGACTTTACGGGTTGGACGCCATTGGCGGCGGCCGTTGAGGTCAACAATGCGGACATTGCGATGGCTTTACTCCAGAGGGGAGCCGTTCTGGAGCCGGATGTCTGTGTCTTTGCCCTTCAGAATGGATTCATTCAACTGTTTCGCGATTTACTGAACTTCAGGCCAAGTATTGTGGGGTTCATTGAGTTGAATAAATTCCGGTTCACGAGACCTACTCTAACGGGACTTAAGATCTTGTATTTTGCCGGATATCCCATCGATGGCACAGTTGTCCCCCGTATTAGACTCCTGGAGTCCAGCGAATGCCGAGGAGATCAGGACTTCGACGCCTTTAAGACGTTCGCCAATTGGCACCAAAACAGAGAGGATGTCATGTCTTTG